AAAGCATATACCATTGTACTACCAGAATGGTTTTACAATTTACATACGAAAAAGTTGCTTAGAATATTGATATCTACAACATACTTCAATATCATCCAAATCGATTCCGAATAATTACCGTGTATTCTAAGCATTTCTTGCCCTTTCAAAGATCTACTATTAGCCCTAATCGTATCACGTTTATACATATATAGCTAGTTTGCATAAGCAAATGAATTTAAACTATAAACAAGAAAAAATAACATTTTAATTATTCCCATGATTCTTATAAGTGACATCGTTATAAAAACACATGGTACGATTAGGGTTAATTTTCTAAAAATAATTTTTTTATGTTGCAAAATTATGTATAATATATTATCTTAAAATATATTATTCAATAATAATAATAATAAATTACAGCTTTGCTAGCTTCTGCTTTCATTTCTATTGCAAAATTTCATCAACGATTGCTAGTTGGAAGAAACGATACGCGCAACTTGTCTCTAGAAGTTTCTTCGTTATTTATAATTGTTGCGTCGCAAGTGCTGACCCGAGCGAGAACTCGTTTATTGGCACTCGAGATAAACATTCTCGAATCATGTAATGTCAGTCACGCGTCAACGTGGAAATATTCGAGACGACGGTTAGACGGTTTAAATTACACCGACGATAAATTAGGAGGTGCCGCGCGACCACCATGGAACCATTTCCCTGCTTTTCTCCGAGTGCCTCTCTGTCCTTTTCCGCGACTCTCGCTTTATTTACCTTTTTATGACTTTTCCTCGCACGCACCTGCACTTTTCCCACGACCTTTCCTCGCAACTTCTATAAATTCTAAATATCCAATTCCGAACTAACCGCACCCAATGTTTTCTTAACGCTTCCGACTTGTTCGCTAATAAAAACACATACGAAGATCGTCTAAGGAAAGAAAACAGGCCATCAATATTCGCGAACGCTCGATATACAGGGCGTTTCAGAAATGCACACCTTTGCTTCTAATCAACACACTAAAACTAGTAAAAAATGTTTTATCGTATGCTCTACGCGCTTTAGTTTTCGAGTATTCATTTTCATATTTTCCAAGTATTCGCCTCGTGGCTTGTAATATTAAAAAATCAAGATCAAATATTCCCTGAAGTATTCAGTTCTCAATTTATGCGAAACTGTCGGAAAATTCCATCAAAAAGAAAGTGAAAATCCACTTTACGACGATAGACAATATTAACACATTCGCGGACAGTAAAAATTTAAAATATGTTGATAATGATGATTTACGTCAAGTACTGCAATTCTACTTAATTCACTCAATGTGTTAGCTAAAAGAAATTTTTAAATACACAAAGACAAAATAAAAACAAAATACTCAATGAACCAGTTAGCCATTACATTAAAGTGCATAATAATTTCAAAAAATAAAAATGATGTAGAATTGAATGCATGATAATGTGGCTTATAAAGAATGATATAGAGTTCGTGTAATTTTGCATCGTAATGAAAATGAATACTATAGCATTCACGTCCGCGAACGGGTTAAACAATGCAAAATATTTTTTCTATCTTTAATAGGAACAGAATTACAGTCCAGCCCAGTTACTATACTCGTTTATTACCTGACTGTACCCGTTCAGGGAATTCATCGTTCCAAAAATGTCCGTTAGCTAATTCAATTTTCCCTTGTTCGTGCGAGGTTCTCTCCTTGGAACTCGGGTACCTTTGTATCGCCGTGATCGATACCGGTTGAACAGGCCGAACGCGAGCGACCACATCGTCGGGGATGGCATATGGTATAGCTGTAAGAAGCTCGCGTAGGCGGTTGGTAAGCTGTATTGACGTTACTTAACCACTTAGGTTACTTACGGCCGGTGCTGTTATTGCCGAACGTGCTAATAGATTGGCGGCTTCCATTTCTTCAGCAATAATAAATTATCAGGCCTACCGGCACCGTGTCGTAACGCGAGTAGACTCGTGCCGGTACCGCCGGGCTTCGAAGGGTGAGCCACCTGAGATAGGTGACAACTCGATCGTGTCCGATCAACCGTAGCATCCGTGGAATGGATAATACATCTTATCGCAATGGTAATTTTCTCTTCATCTACGAGTCTCTTAAGCCTTCGATCGGTTCACTAAATTCGTTAACAATCGCGTTTCTATGGCGTCGTTGGGTTTGGAGTTGGGCAAAGTTTATTCACGAATGTGGAACAAAATATTAGATCCATTTACAAATTTTTTAACCTCTTAATGCTCATATTTTTCAGGTTAACCAAGAATAATCAATTTTCTTTATTAGATTTGTTTCTAAAAATACGTTTATTATCATCCCTTAAACCGTTGGATTAAACAAATATCATTTTTCAAAGCAGTCAGACTCGGGCATGAACGTTAAGGGGTTAAACCGACATCCAAGCGATAATTAAACCACGAGCGAGTCTAAAACATTGTTCGTTCTTAATGACTTTTCGAGATCGTCGTTTGAACATTTGTAATTTGTTGTGTTTCCAATTATTTTTACATCTTATCGCAATGGTAATTCTCTCTTCACCAACAAGTCTCTTAAGCCTTCGATCGGTTCACTAAATTCGTTAACAATCACGTTTGTACGGCATCGTTGGATTTGAAGTCGGGCAAAGTTTATTCATGAATAACAAGTAAAATTTTGGATTCATTTACGAATTTTTTAAACCGACATCTAAGCGACAGTTAGGCCTGTCTTAGGCGTTAAGACATTCGATGGTTGAGGAGTGGTCCCTCGATATTGTTCGCGGAGTCATCTCCACCCATTCTTAGAACTACAATTACCTATAACTCACGTAAGATCGTAACTATGAATGGATCACTGGAAAGAACAAAAATAAAATTTGTATATTTTCCAATTTATAATTTTGAAGAATTATAAGAAGAATGTAAAATAAATGATATACTTTTTATGATAGTAATGTAAACAAGGTGAGAAATAAAAGTAAAAAAAAGTCGTACTATGATGGAAATATAAACAAAATGATAAAAGATAAATAACATTATTTTTGATAATAATAATCTAATAAAACCCTGAAAGGTACTATTAACCCCTTGTTTCAAAACCATGAGTCTTCTCACTCGTCATCAAGTGTTATATTTAAGTGTTGAATTTGTCTGAACAAACGCTATCATATTATTAACAAAAAGGTTCCATTTAAAAAAATTAACTTGACCCTGAAATCTCCTCCACTGCTCCACCTATACAAAAATTATTTATACCACATAATTTGCCCCTTTAAATAGAACAACTTTTGTAAGAACACTTTTTGATACCTTCAGTACGTCATGAGATTCCACCATTCACACTTGAACGTAACACCCTGTATATTAAAAACAACACATTTCTACATTCATGACGTATTCATAAAACAAGTCTATTCTTTATCAATTCCTTGCACGAACAAGTTTAAACAAAATCAAATAGTATACGTTTGAAAAATTATTTGGAATTAAATTCTACGTCAAGGGATGAAGAACAAAAAATGTATGAAATAAAAAAATTCACATAATAATGTAGACAATAGAATAGACTCTCTCATAATTAAATATTCATATATAAGACTAACCAGACTTCGTAGAAAACGTTAAAACCAAAATTTAAAAATGAGGAAGAAATACATAAGGATGCTGAACGCTCTAGAAAGATACGAAATAATTAAAAATGAATCTGTTAAAAGGCGTAACAATATTAACAAAATCAACCTTCCTATTTTAAACTTGGGTTGAAATACGAAAATCATGCAATTTCTAAAAATAAACTACATACTTTCTGAATGATTTTGAAACTTGTAGTATAAACAGACATTGAACATTTTTATAGACCCTCCCTCGATAACATACGCGTTGCAGAACCATACCAGCGAACGTTAGCGAGAGATTACTGTACATATAAGAATAGGTTGGTCAAGTACTTGTGAGAACTGTCGTCACAGTCATTTGAACATTAAAAATTTGTTATATTTTCGATAACATTTATTCCTTGTGAAATATACCTATTAGAACCCACATCTTTTTGTTTTTTCTTCCATCGTAACAAAGTCACGAAGTATTTGAAGGAAGTTCGGACATTAATTGCCCGAGTTATTTACTCCAAGACCTCACTGTGCGTTGTAATTTTATTTACCGAGGAGAGAATGTCCGAAACGTTGAGAAACAAATAAGAGTATCGCTTCTGTGCTCTCATTATCGGAAAGACTACGCACCGAGTTCGCATTATGAGAACCAGGAACAGTAAGAAACTCGAGCCGGGAAATTCTCTGCTCACGTTTATTGAAACGAACGAACGCGGAGAACAAGGAAACGGGGAGTTCGTTATAAATCAAATGGAATATGAAGCCATTAAACTTTCCACGTTGCAGTGGGTACAACGTTGCGAACGTTCTTAATAAACATTACGTATGCAACGGTACGGAGCAAAACGTATCGAGATATCGCCCGGAACGTGTGTTGGTTGGTTTTACGGCTCTGGCCCGACCGAGATTTCAATTTCATCGATCGAAAGTCATCCCCCGCGGAAAACCGTGGCGGTTTCGTCCTTTCACCGTTCGTGACGAGCTGCGACCGTTTAGTCTGCGCGAAATAAATAATTTATTTTTTCGTTCTATCGGTCGAACAGGAGCGTCACGAGTAGAGTATACAGTCATATGGTTAAGCTAGTTCGACTTCCTCCTTTCGACGCGGAGAAAGTCATTGTTGTTCGCGGTTTCAATGAAGTTTAAGTAACCGACCCCGTCTCACAGATAAATCATTGTGCCTTTGTGGCGCCAAGACATTGTTACACCAACGCGGCGGGTGCGCATTGTTTTATGGGGTCCTGTAAAGGTAAGATTTCCTAGAAGCGTTGGACGCACGCGTCGGACGATCCTACACCGATAGAATGGAGATGCATACTGCGCTCTTTCCCTATAAGCATTTTCCAGCGTACGCGATTGCGTCAGACGCCTGCATCCAGGTCCACTCTAACAGATGCGTTACGATCGGTCAACCAGGTATACGTTGAGAATCAAATCATGGATATCGCTCAGACTAATACTCTAATTACTTTTGGACGGCTCACTTCTTTCAAAAATATAATGTATTTCACTTATCGTTAATATCAACACGATATATGTTTTACGTATCCTCATCAGATGTACATTATGTAAAATAAGTACCCGGAATTTGTAAATAAAACTCAAATTGCTTACTTAATCATCCAAATTTATTTTGTCGCCTTCAAAGTGGGCCCCATCAGAAGCAATGCACATACGCCAACGCTTCTCCCAGTCTTCAAAACACTTTTTAAATGCTGAAGAAGGTAGCGCCTTGAGCTCCTTCTGCGAATTTTCTTTTATGGCCTCTATCGACTCAAAACGCCTTCCCCAAAGGGGTAATTTGAGTTTTGTAAATAAGAAAAAGTCACAGGGGGCCATATCTGGTGAATACGGTGCTTGTTCGATCACATTTGTTGAGTTCTTGGCCAAAAATTCGCGTACCAAGATCAATGTGTGCAACGGAGCATTATCGTGGTGCAGGATCCAAGAATTGTTTTTCCACATATCTGGCCATTTCCGACGAACATTTTTACGCAGGCGTCTCATGGCGCTCAAATAATATTCTTTATTTACTGTTTGTCCATCTGGAAGGAATTCTGAATGAACAACACCACGATAATCAAGGAAAACAGTGAGCATGGCCTTAATTTTCGAGCGACTTTGACGCGGTTTTTTAGGGTTTGGTTCATTTTCTAAGTGATATTCCGACGATTCTTGACTTGTTTGCATATCGTACTCATAAACCCATGTTTCGTCACCGGTTATGACGCGTTTCATGAAGGTAAAGTCACTAGAAGCTCGTGAAATCATGTCTTCAGCAACTGCTTTTCGATGTTTTTTTTGCAGAAAATTCAGCTCCTTCAGAACAAATCGTGCAGCGACGCGTCTCATGCTCAGAACTTCAGTTAAAATGTTATGTACGGACATGTGAGACATTTCCACTTCATGAGCCACCTCTCTATCACTCAGGCGACGATTATCGATGTCCATTTTTTTTATCTTTTCGATGTTTTCGTCGGCCGAAACCATTGACGGTCGGCCGGCAAACGGCAAATCTTGCACTTCTTCTCGGTCCTCTTCAAATGCCTTGTACTATTCGTATATTTGCGTTTTTAATAGGCACGACTTACCATAGGCTTTCTGTAACATTTTTAACGCTTCGGCATAAGAAATTTCGTTAGAAACGCAAAATTTAAGGCAAATTCTTTGCTCAACAGTTCTTTGCATCGCAAAAATCGCAGAGTACACTCGAGATCGTTTGGTGTAAATAACTGCCGTGAACACACTGGTTGTCATATTGCAATCAAATTTAGCGTAACAACTGAATACAATGTTGCCTACTTACACACAAAAATTTGTTTCAATACATGCACTGTGGGATTTGAAAGTGAGAAATTCCGTGAACTTATTTTACACAATGTATACAAAATACTGGCTGTCCAACATATTTTCAAAACTATTTATTATCTTGTAGTGAAGTTAACTTAATATACTCTATACGCTTGATATTAATATAAAGAGCGAGGCACGAACTAGTAGTCCCTACGATTTTTCAGCCCCTTTCGATAGTCTGACAAAAAAATGTTTCCTATCGAAGTTAATCAGTATTTAACCGACAAGAAACTACAGTTGCTTAAATTTAAAAATAAATTAATTTTTAATACAAAATTAAGGTCACTGTTATATTTTTAAATGGAACTAGGTATTTTTAACTTCATAGTATTTTAGGCGACGTCGAGACCAATTCAACGACCTGCTACACGATGACTTTCAGATGACGTTGAAGGAAAAATTGCCATGAATCGATTGCCACAATATATGAAATTATTCGGCTATACATAACACTAAGGCCTTGCATTTAGACATAAACAAATGAACGTAAACATTACAAATGCTTTATTAATGCCATGACATTTATTCAATTTCAGAATTTAATACACAGAATAAAATAAAAATTTATACAAAATCAAACTGACAACACGCATGTTAAAAAGGTGCATCTAATTAATAATTAACTTAAATGTCCGAACTGCATTCCACCTTCTGCAACACAAAATTTTATTCTTTGTAATAAAGTCCTATGTGTAGCTTCAATTAGAGAACTTCTTTGTACCTTTCTACACATTTTGTAGAAATTTTCCTGTGTTGAGTAAATGCTATGCTATTAATAAAACATTCACAATGTTCATTTACGTTTAAATGCAAGGCCTTAGTGTTATGTATTGTGGCAATCGATTCATGGCAATTTTTGACGTTGCCTACTATGAAGTTTAAAAATATAACAGTGACCTTAATTTTTGATCGAAAATCAATTTATTTTTAAATTTAAGCAACGAAGTTTCAAAAAATCCTGTCGATTATACGACTGGTGTGCGATAAAACTGGATTATAAATTGTCTACTTAGGTCGATAGGTGTAGTGTTAAGAATCGTTATAAGTAATACTTTTTTTTAAATGCTCATTTTCACATTTCCCATAGTTCGTGCCTCATCCTATATACTTTGATGTTAATACGTTCGATTATCACTATTTTTCAAAATAATCTTACATCTTTTGTAAGAATTTTCATGTGTCTATTAAATAAAGATTCGAAGGATCACCCCTCAAATCTTTACAAGTGAAATGAAGTTTTATGTAGACAAATATACTATATTTTACTATAAGTAGTATTCTCGTACAGTTTGGAGGAAGTAAGTAAGCGAGATAGCAGGAGAAAAGAAACGGAAAGAAGAGTTTGTCAGTTGTGTACTTGTGAGAGAGCGTAGCCCTCTGCTGGCGAGTGCAGGAACTGTCGCCATAGTAGCTATATATGTACATACAGTTATAATCGAGTGTAGAATAATACTAGGCGAGGTTGAACAAATCTAGCGTTGATCTGGAGGGGATTTCTTCTTTCTACACGTCGTTAATTAATACTCATTTTCCTTAATCAAACTTGTTCCTTTTCCTCTCGTAGCTAAGAAAACATTCAAATGTTATTCATTTTGAAATATTGTATTATTTTTATACGAATCACATCGTACTTAATATCTTTGGCAGCAAGTTTTAATTTTCTAATTCCCAACATTTTTAAATAATTTTCTCTTGAAGAATAAACGTAGCGTTCGTAAAACTGGCGAGGTGGACCAGCAAGGACGTGGTTCTCGATGTTTACCGACGTTAATAGCCGACATTAATAATAAAATACGAACCAGTCCCACCGAATATCCTCGATATGATTCACGTTCTCGAGAACGTGAGCATGGCGCCAGTGATCTTTACGCGATCATCGCGAGCATATCTTTTCTTCTTTTATTCTCACGAATGAGGCGTTGTTACAACGAAACCTAACAATTCTCGCGAATTTTACTATACCGCTCTTGCTGCCTGATGAGGAGGAAAGACGACCGCCGAATGAGTACACCACGATATTTAAACATCACTGGGTCGTCGAAATGTACGCGAACGATTTCATAAGCAATGAAAATAACGTTAAATGTAACTTTTTGGATAGCTCGATGCGAGATCATCAACGTTGTAATTATTTCACTTATATCACGAGAACTATCCCCGATTGTAAAAGCCTTATTTGCGACTGTTGTACTTTTATGATCTCTGCTAATTACATTTTTTCGTTCGAAAGCTGGTGCACCACTTTGCTGTTAAAGTTAAAAACTCGAATTATATTTATCTTTTTATTCAAACGCCAAGTTTTTAATTAAAACTCAATTATTGCCACGAGTGGTCCACGATGATATTTACTCGTACTACTGAAAGGAGTCTGATTCGTTACTGCTCTCCAAACTATGTTGCACGGAACACTTTTCCTCTTCCATTTTCATGAATTATTTATTCAAGAATTTTCGGAAAAGGGATATAGTTAAATAACAATCCTTTTTATATACAATCTAAGAAATCAAAGAAAAGCTGCTAATCGCGTGTGACAATAAAATTTGACAAAAATTACTACTGATCTTTGACTAAGACATAGCACCGTTTAATTGTCACTTATTTCAGTTTATTACAAATTTGTTTAACACTAGGTTTACGGAATACGTCAATTTGACGGGTTTCTGATTCTAAACGTAACGTTACAGAATTTACAAATAGTATTTGTTAGCAATTTATGTTGAATTTAATTGATGTATTGATATGAATATATATCCTAATTTAAAGAAAAACTACATTTTAATTGTAACTGTCGACACAACATATTACAATAAAAATATGTAGAATGTCCGTAAATCTAGTGTCAGTAGAAAACAATTAAATTTAATATAGGATTGTACACGCCATCAAGAACAGTTTATCAAATCTGATGAAAAAAAAGGTCAAAAGTTCGTTGAGAAAGCGATTAAACTTTGCGACAAGCTTTTCTAACGACCGACTACAATGTTAGAATCACATTTGCCTGGGTTGCACGAAGTTGTCTGGCTGTTTTTGTAGACAGAGGCAACAACGTTTCACTTTCATCTCGGATGACTCGAGCAGACGATACCGAAGGATCGAATTGCAGATCCGTCCGCATTTAACACGGGCTCGATCGTGATTTTAACATTTATTTCGAGCACGTTCCGCTGGTGTAATCGAAGGAAACTCATGCAGCCTGGTACACGTACGGTCACGTACACACGTCGAGTCTGACAACACGTGCCGTGTTCTACTTGCATGATCTGGCGCGATCGCTCTCGCTGGCGCGAGTCTACATAATCGCCGCCCGGTAACAGTTTCGTCGGGAGCGAAAAATTCTTCTCGAAAATAACGCCGAATAATTAAACGGATGCAATTATTCCCGGTGGAACCGTCAATTTGTTCGGCGAGCACGCGATTTTTAATTCCTCGAATTGCGTCATTTACGGTTAAAGCGTGCTAATCAGCCGTCAAAGCGGAGGCAATAAGTGGAGCGGCGAAGAGAGCGGCAATTATTATTAATTACACCGTGTACCGGGTGGAGATTGACAGCTTCCATATTTAAACTGAAATCCCCTCGTTATGTAATTGTACGAGGCAACTTCTATTACACGTAGATGGGCTCGCGGAGCGCTGACAACACGTGCTACACTTCTGCCGCGTGATTTGCGTTACGTGCACGCGCAAGGATTCGCCGAGTACACGTAGAAACGATTCCCGACCCGTCGACTTCGCGGTTGCTCTCCCCAGCTTTCGTGCCAGTAAATAGGAGGCTGCGGAGACTTTCACCGTTCGCGCGACAAAAAGGAAAAAATAACCGTTTCGTTGGGGGAAAATTAAAAGCCACGCGATTCCTCGAGATCCCGCGCGACGAAGTTCCCTCGTTTCGACAGGATTCGTTAACACATCGACTGCCACGTTATTTATTTATTTGTCGGAATTCATTAAAAAGTTTTAGTTCTCAAATTGAGTGTTGGCTGTTGGCCCTAATCGATGCCTAAATTTAATCGATGCAAAGAATGTCATCGGAAATGCAAACGTGCGTCTGGTTAGCGTTGACGTTTGGATGTGGCCTTTGAAGGTAGTCGAGTTGGTTGTCTGGTTACCGGAACGTTTGAAAAAGGAAGTATTCAAAAAAGAAAAACACAGAATTAAACAGGTTTCCAGGCGGAAAGGTCGTGCGAAAAAGTTAAAAAAGAATCCCTGCAAAGGACTCATCCCTTTTCGTTCAGTACTCTTGTTTGTTAGTAACGTGTTTGTTTCAGTTATTAGTTGATCGTTTATTTGGTTAAAAGTTTTGTTGGGAACTCCAACATTTTGTTAGCGGACACATCATTTAGTTTAATATTAGTTTAAATTACTTGATTGATAATCTGGCAAGTACCTTATGGTACAAAGCGAATTGACGTACCATTATGCCGTTTAACACGCCGTACTTTGGGACCATACCTGCCCCTTGGGACCGCAGACGCCCACCCCTGTACCACCCTCAATGGGCAGGGGTTTGATTGGCTAAACAGAATCTTCACCTATTTTGAAATAGGCATATAATTGCGGGGCATAACATTGATCAGTGAGTTAGATCAGAACCAAGAACCTTCACAAGTTAGAATCGAACCAAGAAGCGCCAAGTTACGGTTAGATTACGCAGTCAGAAGAACATTGAAACGTTAACTGTTAACACACATGTATATATTTGTAAATAAATTTAAAGTGTTGTAAATAGTATTGGACTTTCTATTTACTAAATAAAATGACTCCACGAACCTAGTAGGAGCCTACAAGTTTCAAACAAAATGAAAAGAGTTACACGACAAAGGCTTGGTCGCCCGAGAGGACCCGATAGAAGTAACCTAAGAGCAATGGCTGATGAAGTGATTGCTCCGACATATTTATTTATTTACGGGTTTGTGCATCCTTTGATATAATACAGTTGCATAAATGTATGTTATAAGATGCAGTGCGTACAACACTAGTGACATGCTTTTTAAAGGAATACAGAGAACCGCTAAAGAAGTCCAGACAAATGATGAT